ATTTGAAATATCTGCCTAATGGAGAAGTCTTAATGGAATACTTTAATAGCCCAAAGTGGTTACCTGCAATTGCTCCAGAGTATTTCAGTCAATTACAAAGGAAGGCAATATTTAATGTTGGAGTGGAGCTAGATGGTGTAATGAACTGGCAGATTGCCAGCTTGATCTTCTCCACAGGAGAATTTGTATTAATGTGATGCTTTTCATTTGTTCTCCAGAAGGTCACCAGTAATACGTCAATTGTTGAATTTTATCATAGTTATCAGAGTCACTTGAATGCCTTACCATTGGAGTTAAAATTCCCACTCTGTGCAGTACAGGTTTATGGTCAGGTCATTCTTCTGTATTAGCATATTAAGTATCAAAGAGATTATTTTAGCTATTTCATGTCAGAATTTAAATAGGAGGTGGTCGGGTATTGGGAAGAGAGCCTGAGAGAATTGTCGTTGAAATAGTCATTGTAAGGCTGAATCTGGATTTTAGCCATGGGGAAATAGAAAATGGGGCACATTAGAGCTATTAGTGAAGGGAAAGGTGGTTAATAACTTTGGACGTTACTTGTAATATAATCATTACAAGAGCACTAATTTATTCTTAAGGTTGTAATCTTTAAAGATTACACAGTTAAGTAGAAGATGCTTATTTTATTAGATGTTACTGATATTTATCTTCTGGTGCTTGTTCACAAGCATCAAGTTCAAACTCTTATTTTTGACTATTCAAAAGTGCTTTTTACTGTGGGATTTGTATGCAGGACAAATTTGTGTTTGCAGGACCTTTGGTCTCGAAAACAAACAAAAGTGACTGAGGCTGCTGTTCAAACAGGTAAATTTGTCTTTCTGCCTTTCATATTTGTAATCAGGTGTTCATCCAATTCCTATACTCCTCCATTTGTATTCCTTATTGTCATCTTCTGTTCCTCTGCTCTGGACCTCACAGTAAGCCTAGGCTATGACGGCAGGGATGAGTGGTAAGGAAGCATGGCGTTTGTCAGCCCTGCTGCATGCAATTAGTGCAGTACTATTGATATTAGGATTGAGGTACGACAAATGAACATCACACTAGATGGTACAGATGTGATGGGCACTGGTGATACCATAGGACGTGCCCAGCTCTGTGCCTCCATTTCCTTTGCCGCCTTTCAAAAAAAGTTGTTGACTTCATTTCCCAAGTTTTCTAACATTGCGCCAGTTTGTCTTTTGGGTAGGCAGTAAGTGTTTGCCACGTGCTCCAAGGATTTTGAATGTTGATGGAGTTTATTTTGTTATTCCCCATCCTGGCTTTACTATCAAATACAGCTATGTACGGTGCTGGCTGCTAGGACACAGCAGAGGGACCAGAAAACCCTGCCTATGGTGCAAACCTTCTGCTAGGGGCAGATGCTCCCAAACCTTAACCACTTTTTCCATTTACTGCCCTTTGAGAAGAGAGATCTTGAAGTTCTATAACTGAAAGATTGTTTCAAAGAACATATTTAAAGTGTAAGCGAATTATTTGTGGTCTAGGTTTCCATCCTGAGTTTGAGTCACTCTGCAAGTCACAACAGTGCAGGCAAAGCTTTGGGCTGTGGGGGTGTGCAATGGAAACTCTTCTGTGTTTGTGTGACTCTTGGTGTGACTTGTAGCAGAAAACTTCCTCTGGCTCTTCCATAGCAAAAGATTGTTACCAGGAGTAAAACAGAAAGAGAGGTCGCAATGCAATGGAATTGAGCCTGGAGAGGACAGAGACCAGCCTGCATCTTGTGCTCATGTGTCTGTTAGATTAACACAGTTTTATTTCAATCAAAGTATTGGTAGGAGCGAGCTTTTCTTGTGCATCTTCTTCCTTCAGCTCGTGGTGCTATCACCATTAATGTTCTGAGTTACTTTTAATGTATGTTAATTGAGCTGTGCAAATAAAACCATTCTTGCTGTACAGAAGGAAGTTAGCATTGTTATATTGAGATAAACACATGACTCATTCTTCTCTTATGTATTTAGATAGAATCTGGACTCTTATTTTCCCCAACTGTACCTCCCCTGCAGTTGACTAATAAATACAAGGTTAGTTTTTCAGGTATTGATGATTAACAGTACACTTTCAAATGCAAGTTCTATTCGTGAATGTGCATTTGTGAAAGTGGGAGTAATAATTAAGAGAGGGGTTGGGTATATATTTAAAGAACAAAAGTGAAAAAAAAACCACACCAAAAGCAGTCAGAAGCTCAGTACTGTACGTCAGTGGTGGATGGTAATGGGCAGGAGATGATTTGTGAGGTAGGAAGGGGAAGGATAGTAATCTTCATAAGATCTTTTAACAAAAAACAAAACTACTTTTATTTTCCCGCTTGTTCCCCTTAATATTAAAAACGTTCTTGCACTATTGACAGGAGAAAAAGATCTACTACAAAATATTCAGCCGATAGGAAAATAGACCTGCCCTGCCTCAGGGTTCTAGTGTTGCTTCTTTTATTAAAATGTCTTTCCCATTTACTGGAGATCTGTCTTGTAATTTCAAATATAGAGCAGTTTTCAGTGAGAACACGGTTAAGTAACTGGCTAGAAAACTGATAAAGTGTGTGTCCTGGTGTGGGGTGGAGCAGAGCCAACTCTCTGCTCAGTAGAAGAGGCTCTTCCTTACACTTTCTGTTGTGGAACCAGGGTCAGCTGAGCTGGTTGGTTACCCCATGGAGGGGTTGAACTGTGGGGAGGGGTGGGCACATCAGGTGACCCAAACTGACCTATATTGAGTGAACCTGTCAGAGTTAGGTTGATGGTTGGACTGAGAAGAGGCTCTTCCTTACACTTTCTGTTGTGGAACCAGGGTCAGCTGAGCTGGTTGGTTACCCCATGGAGGGGTTGAACTGTGGGGAGGGGTGGGCACATCAGGTGACCCAAACTGACCTATATTGAGTGAACCTGTCAGAGTTAGGTTGATGGTTGGACTGGATCATCTTAAAGGTCTCTTCCAACCTAGACAATTTTATGATTCTGTGATCCTATAGGGTCTTCCATCCCATCATGGATGTCTTGTTCAGTATAAAGCTGAGGGATCAAGGGGGGTCAGGTTGGTGGCTCTTCTTCATTGAGGAGGACCCTGTCAGTTCATCTGCCTTCGATCCCCATCAGTGAGTTCCACAATCTGGTTCCCATTTGTCACTGAGACCAGTCTGGAACTTTCCCGGTGCCTGCCAGTGACATCTCCCTGGGAGCTTGATGTGGTTTTGTATATATTGTACATGTTTCATTATTTCTTTTTTATTTTATTATTAATATTCCATTAAATCAATTTAGTTTTTTCTAAATTCATAAATCTCTATATCTCTCCTCTTCCTATCCTTGGAGGGAGAGGTGGGGTAGAGCATCTGTCATCTTGTCATTGGCCAACTCGGCACAAATCACAGCAGTGTGGTTGACCGTGGTCTGTGTCTGTGGAAACCTGAAACCACAAGTTGGGCAGTGGGGCAGTGGGCGTTCCAACCAGCGTCTGGGCAGAGGAGAAAGAGGGTAGATCACTCTTCAGTCCCATCTGCTCTCTGCTGTCACAGGTGTATCTTCATTCAGGCACTGAACTGGATGAGGAGACTCTTCTGTTTGAGTAATGCTTTCTCTGGGAGGGCTACCAATGCTCTGGCTCCTCTTGCAGCTGCTGGGAAGCAGGTGGGGAGCTGAGGGGCAGGGACTGTCTTATGCTTTATCCCATAACAATACATTTATGCTTAAAATGTTTAACAAACTATGGTTTTAGTAGTTCTGTTACTCCAGTTGTAATGGGTAGGAGTCTAAATCCCACTTTTAAACATCTGTGTAAGAAATTTTTAATAAACTTATACTTCCCCCCCACCCCACCCCCCCCCATGATGATGTATGGGATCATTGGATGAATTGCTCTTTTTAATAGAATTTCTTTGTAGGATGCTTTTGTAGAGTGGCAACTGGTTGGAATCTGTTCAGAGAGGACTTCAAACAGAAACATTTGTGCATGAGTGGCCTCAGGTTGAGTGGGAGTTATAATCTGTTGTCCTTATGAGCTGGGGGCTGCAGTGAAGGAAGATGTTCAGAATTTTTTCCTTTTTGAATTGCATCTTAGTGGGTTTACACTGCCTGAATTTGTCAGACATCCTATGGAGTTAGAGGTGTCATTAAATAACAGAAATAAATGTTTAAACATTTTCAAGCCTCTTCTGAAAGGTTGTTCTTGTGACTAGAAATAATTAACAGGACAATGGAGGCCGGGAGGGGCCACTGGAGGCTGGTGCCATCCAGCTTCCAGCAGAGCAAAGGCCACAGCTGGGGCCACGTCCAGGAGAATTTGAGAATCCCTCAAGAAGGAGGTCCATCTTGTTTCAGGGGGCATGTGGCCATGCTTAGCTGCCCTTGCGGTGAAACCTTTCTTCTTTACGTCTAGCAAGAATTTCCATTAATGGAGTTTTCCAGCCCTCTGACCAGCTTGTCTCCTTGGTTCAGTAATCTCTTGTGCCAGAGGACCCCAAACCACAGGCATTAGTAATCCAGCTGGGTTCCACATCCAAATGTGTGTGAGCGCCTCCTGGGTGGAAATAGTCATGTCCTACACAACTGCGAGCTATGCCTTTACTGATGCACCTCAGTTTTCTACGTGTAACAGCATTGCCCTTTTAGGAATTACGGGCAACTTAAACTGACCAATGTAAAAGTGAAGGAAACAGTAAATAACAGGCCTTTTTCAAATGTAATCTTTCTAAAACTGGGCTGAATTTTTAATTCTGCTTATTGACTGATTTTTCTCTGTGTTATGATGGCTGGGTTGGTAGTTGCTTTCTTTTCTAGATGGTTGGGGTGGTCTGTAGTTAAATTGACCTTGTATCCATTGAGAAAAGTTAAATATGAAGAAGCATTCTATTTTTGCTAAATAGGTAGATCAAGTTAGTATCATGCTGCCTGCTCTTCAGACTCTTTTAGGAGGTTTTGACAGAATGAAAACTACTAAAGTTCTACTAAGTTTAGCGCTTAAACTAAAATATGTGTTTTCTGTTGTTTCAGACAGTGGTGTACTTGACTTTGTTGGAGAGTCCTGCCTTTCACTGCCTGGATCCTTTTAACAGTGTGCCAAAGGTAAGTGGTTCAAGTTCAGTGGTTATTTTGGTAACTAAAGATGAGTGAACTGGATGTATTGCTTGGGTTTGCTTTCATATAGTGTATTACTTGTAATTTTTTATTATTTTTTTTTTAAACTGCTGGATGGATGATTAAATAGCAAGTCTTTTGCCTTCAGTGATCTGAGACAAGTGAATTTTAGTTCTTACTTTCAGAAAAAGACAGGAAAAAAGGATAGGCTCAGATTATTAATTGAGCATTAGATATTGCTACCACAGTTTTTTGCCTCCTACCTCCTGTTACCTGGTGCTTTGACTTAGGATGTTTTCCCCTGAATGTGCTGTAGGCAGGATGTGGTGGTGTGGGAGGTGTGGAGGAGTAGCGGCCGTCCATAGCCTGTGGTAGAGCAGGCTTTGATATTATGCTTTGATTGATTTCTAAAAACTAAGTAATAGCTTGTAAAGTATTGAGAGGAAAGAAGGTTTGTGAGTTTTCTGTGAGAGCAGAATCGAATTGAATTCAGTATGTATGGAGTATCTTCCTGGGCTGGCTCAGAATACCTGAGGTAACTGAAAGAAGCCGATCTTTTCCATAGGATTCATATTGTGGTAGAGTCTGAGTATCTTCTTTTGGTTAATTCATGTACCCTGTTGTCTGTTTTTAGTAACTGTAGTTGATCTCCGTGGCTTAGCATAGATTTATTAACAGAAACTTTTAATAAAATGAAACCTCATTACAACTGTACCAAAAAAAAAAAAGACAAAAAAGCAGAACACTGAATGAATTTTTGGCATTGTAGTGGCTGCAGCATGGAGCAGAAAACTAAGAGTCCTAGTTTGATTCATTATTTTACCAGGTGGATATATTATTTGTTACTCAAATTCTCTGTTTATAAAATAAAAATAATGTTACCTTCTTCAGAAGGAAGTTATGAGGGCTAATTATTGATGATTTCGAGCCTTCAAATAAAAAGCAATGTATGAAGTCCTCAGGTACCTTGATTTTTGCTGTGAGTTCTCTTAAATGCTTGTTCAATGAAGTGTTATCAGATGTTGAAATTAGACTTAATTTATTTAATAAAGTGCAGGTGAACAAGTTAAAATTAAAAATGCAATCCAATCTTAGGCTTAACACCTACATATGTTTTTGCAAATGACTCATTTTCCTTTAAACTGAAAAGGAAATTCTGTAGTACTAGGATGGAAGCTCTGAGGTGCTACAATGGGCTTTTGCATTACACTTTCAGATTATCTGATATACATCTTCAAATGTAATGGACAAAGTTATAATCCTGGCCTTTCTAACCGATCAGATTACAGCCATGAACATTTTGTGTTTAAAGGCTAATAGTGAGAAGTCTTCTGTAATAATTTTTTTTTAGTAGAAACTCCAGTAAGTTTTTGTGTGTCCTGTAGGTAGCAAAATTAAAATGTTTGTGAAATGGCTCTTAATGTAAAAACAAAACAAACACACAATCCTAAAGCAAATGATTCATCAAACTATAGACTTAATCGTACCATAATGATTCTAATTTTCCTACTAAAATTTCTACTCAAAATTAAGGTTGTATTTTACCGCGGCCAAAACTTTCTATTTATTTCAAATGTGTAATATAAAACTCTTTAGAGTTTTATCTTTGGCATCTCTTTCTTGTCCTGTTTTGTAATAGTTTTCATTTAAATGTTCTATGAAGTAATTAAAAAAATAATCCACTGCTCTGTTAAAGGAAATAGATGTTTGGAATTAGGGTTACGGATTTAGAGTCATCTTTATTTGTTGAACTTGTTTCTCTGATATTTGGCACTTAGTAATTTTTTCTTCTACCCTTTAAAACAAGAAACGGGGAGGGGAGTCAAACATGCCCAAAGGGAAGGTGTTTACAGCAGGCAAAGGTTTTATATGCTTCCCAGGACAGCAATGAATAGATACTGGCTCACAGAAAAGAGAAGAGGAAGAACTACTTGGAAATCTCAGTTGGCAGAGGGTGTAGGGGTGTATGTGTGTCTCTGGTTTTTTGTTGGTGGTGGTTTTTTTTCCTCCTTCTCTTTTTTCAGAACTTGCTGTGTCTCATTAGACAACATTTAATTTCAGGAACAAAATTAAATCTAACTTCTATTTTGATACTTTGTCTTTTTCCATTCTTTGTGTGCATGTTTCTGATGGGCTATATTCATCTAGGTAAAGATATGGTTCTGCAAAACATGGAGCATTCTAATGCCTTTCCTGAAAGGAAGTGAATGCATAGGTGTAGGTCCAGTAAAGCTTGCACTTAAAATGCTTTGTTGAACCAGAACATTGTAAAACTTCTGCCTTTTGAAAAGGAAATGCAGTTGGCAGCAGAGTAAATATTCACGAATAACACTCAAACTGCTCTTAAACTTCACTGAACCGTGGACAATAATGTGTCCTTATAGGATCTTGTTGAGTCAGAACTACAGTGTAATTAGTGTTTGGTTGTAAAGATCTGCCAGCACGTCTTTTATCTAGCAAGCTGGCTTTTTTCAGTTGTTTGTTTCCATTTTTTTTTCTTCATGCTTTCTTTTTTTTTTTTTTAAGGAAGAGAACTGTATGGAAAGGCAGTGTTTATTTAAACAAAAAACAAAAATTCTCTCATTTCTGCAATCAGATTAGTATGAATTTACAGCTGAAGTCTAATGTTCTGGCAGTTTATTGCAATCATTCAGTTGTTGCAAATCTGAAACTATCCTAAAAGCATTTAAACTATACATTATATTGCATGTAGTGGTATTCTGCATTTTTTAACTTGTTCTTCAGTCAATTACAGTCTTGAAACAAAAAATGAATTGCATCATGTATTTTCATGATAGAGTATTTTGAAAAGGGATTACAGTATTAGTATGACATTCCAACTTGATGCAGCTGTCTGTGGTGTATCAAATACCAATGTTTTTTGGTATTTTTCTATGGATCGGCATGTTTGTAGTTGTTGATTTTTGAGGAGTTTAAACCCAAGGAAAACAATGCCTGTTCTTAACGTTTTGTGTGAGTGAGTTATGGGAAGTTTTGATTCTGACAGTAGCTAAGAGAATGCAAGGTATGCACTGAGTGGATGTCTGGATTCCTTTCCCTGAAAAAACAGAAAAGTTTTCTGTAATTACGTCAATTTTCTCAGGTGCCTAAAGTGTTGATTTTAAGCCTTTGAATGCAACTTCAGCATTACTTAAATATATTTACAGACATTTAGTATAATAAATGAATTTATAGAATACTGGCCATTATGTTATGCTAATGGCATAATACTTTCTAACCTGTAATTGTGGATAGGGAGGAAGAACAATTTGATCCCACTCCTATACCCCCATAACCACAGGTTATAAATTTGTCTTCCCTGAATGATGTAATTTTAGTACTTTTAAAGATTTTTTTTTTACTAGGTTTTTTTTTTCCTCTTTGTAGTAATAGTATTTCTTTGCATGAAAATACAGGCATGCTTTTATTTACTAATAATATCAAAGTAGATTATTAATAATCACTTGTCTCTAATATTTTTCCAGCTTTGGTAGCTTCAGGTGCAACTCAAGTTTGTAGAAATCAAAAGAACTTGTTATGGCCCATAAATGGCCTCTGCAGTGTACTTTAACTGCAATCCATATGGATTCCTCATCGGAGAACGCTGTACAGCTTTCATCAATACATGAAAACTCAGTTCAGTAAAAATAAAACAATGACCACATTTTTCCTGGTGGAAGTAGTTTTGTGGATTGATAGCCAGGATGGACTTTGGCTGTCTTCTCATCCAGCGTGTCAGTTTTTCTGAGCCAAAAGAAAGCTTTGCCTGCTGGAAAGAATCTACCGTGTTGCTCGTGAATATAGCGATGAGTTAAGCTATAGATATGAAATAGATATATGTGAGTAAGCTAAGGTTAAGCTTGTCCCAGAGTATGATTGTGAACTGAGCACAAAACACGCGGTGACCCACCTTACTGCCCTGACCAGTGTTCAGAGGAATGCTACTGGTAGAACTGGTTACTGAGCCCCTATTTCTGTGGTTTCTGAATAAACATATCCCTGCATTACACCAGTTTCAGTGAAAAGATTTGAATGTGGACTGCACTTTCGGGGGACAGCTTCTGGCTTAGAATATGATCCTGAGAAGCTCTTTGAGATAGCTTTATGCAAGATACGTCACAGGGAGGGTATCCTGACACACTGAAGGCGTTTGTCATTTAGGTGAGTGGTGCGCGTAAAGGCACAGGTCGGGGAAAGTCATCTCGAGGCTTTTGGGATGCAGGGCATGAGAACAGTCCTTGTGCCAGCCCGATGTAGTGCGATAGGGCTGTATCAGCACAGGGATGGGTCAGTAATCATAGAATCATAGAATGGTTTGGGTTGGAAGGGACCTCAAAGATCATGGAGTTCCAACCCCCCTGCCACAGGCAGGGACACCTCCCACTAGAGCAGGTTGCTCAAGGGCACATCCAGCCTGGCCTTGAACACTTCCAGGGATGGGGCATCCACAACTTCCCTGGGCAACCTGTTCCAGTGTCTCACCACCCTCATAGTAAAAAATTTCTTCCTGATATCTAATCTGGATCTTCTTTCTTCCAATTTAAAACCGTTTCCCCTTGTCCTATCATTACCCTTCCTGGCAAAGAGTCCCTCTCCGGCTCTCCTGTAGGCTCCCTTCAGATATTGAAAGGCCACTATACGGTCTCCCCGGAGCCTTCTCTTCTCCAGGCTGAACAATCCCAGCTCCCTCAGCCTGTCTTCATAGGAGAGGTGCTCCATCCCTCTGATCATCTTCGTGGCCCTCTGCTGCATCTGTTCCAGCCGGTAATCCCAAGCACTCCTGAAGGAGGAAGCAGATTAGCGGTTATTCCAAGGTCTAACTGCCCCATAACAGAGCTGTTGCCATCTGCTTGCAGACATCTCCCGGAGATGCCCTTCCCTCAGGTTTCTGAGGGGTTCCGTGCCTGTTGGGTAGCTCTGTGGGGCTGGCTGCTTGAGGTGGTGCTTTGCAGAAGCAGGCACGCAGCTGGTGCTGGCGTAGGGCACTT